TGGAAGGCTCTGCAAGAATTGTCTTCTTCCTTCCTTCATGCCATGCTGAAGCGCATTCCAAAGTTCGTCTTTCCAACATCCAGAGTTCATGTCCTTCGGCACGCTGATGTATCATGTATCAGTGTCCGGCTCGAAAAGCGCTTGGCATTCCTCACTCAACTCGATTAAGTAGAATGCCTTTTCTTAATCGACGCAGGCAATGCACAGAAGGCAATTTCTATTCCTTCGAGGCGTGCCAGTAACTGAGTCAGAATAAAACTGCTGCCTTCGTTTCTTCGAAATCCTGTCTGTTCTTTCCCTCCGTTGCTGCTAATCCAGAATCCTTGACAGTCGATTTGTAAGTATCCTACTGTGCAGTATACAGACATGTTATGACAGATGTTTTGGGCGGTATATCTTCAGATGTTCCCAGTCGTCCTTCGTATGTATCAGACTCATAACTGACTGTTTAAAACACGATGGAATCTATCTTGGATTTTCAGGTATATACTGGACCTCAGAGCAAGAGCATTCTGAAGTTTCTGGCCTCCCGTGTTTATCATTTCAATTTCTTTCTGAAGACTTTCCTCCTTTCATCTAGCAACCTGCCTGTCGACTTTCGCTCGCTAGGACGGGAAGTGTTCTGTGTTCAAAATAATGGGGTGTTGGCTGTGGGATGCTTTCTTTTTAAATAAAAGGCGAAATGTAAAACTCCCTGCAGATCGCTTCTATGCCAGTTTTGTCTGACATGATAATGCTGCTCTTATGCTTGTTGTTTGTCTCTAGAGGACCGATTCTTCGGACATTTTATTAAGCACACTTTTAGACCTTTTGAGATTTTTGACCGTCCTAATCAGTTTCTCTTTTACAGATTTCTCGATACATTTCATTTAATTTGCGTCGTAATAAACTGGCATAGAAATCAGTTTTCCACTTTATCATCGCCATTTCACTTTGAATTTTCGCCTCTTCCTTATCTCTTTCATGTTATCTCTGAGAATTTTCCTCACGCTGTTATGCATTTCTCTTTCCAGTCCGGTTGTTCCCATCCGTCGCTTGAGTTTTGCTGCAAAGATGACCTAGTTCTTATATAAAAGTATCATTATTCGTAGTTTATTTTTATTTCTTGTGAACTATGATCCTTTGTTCCCTGGTCTGACGTTCTAGTCGATGTCTGCCGTAATAATGGTGCTATGGATTTTTGAGTTAAAATAAGGTCCTGGTCAAATTCTTCTAAATCGCCCTCTTTGCTTATATCTGTAGAAGCAATCGTTTGAATTATTTTGGGTAGGGACACGATTGTTCGTCAGTCGTACAGACTGCAAGAAGGCTTTATGAGTTACGTGACACGGGACAGCTTTTGATGACCGTTCCTCTCATACGATGAGGCTAACTTCTATATCGAGTTTCGCAACTTTTCCTTTTCCAGGAATGATGATGCTGATTTTCGTGAATTTTCCTTATAACTCGGTTTTTTTACGTTCCATAGAGGCCATATACGTAAATAGTTATCCTGGACTTCTCTGATATACGATGGCAAATCGATTCTTCTCTCATGTCCTACAGTACCAGGCGCATGCTGCGAGGGTGATTCTAGTCCGCATCCGTTTTAGGTTGCTGCCACTTGAGACTCTTAGCAACCTCTTGTCAGTCGAACTGCCCATGGTCGCCATAACAGGGGGCTGAGTTACGCACACTGTAATGAGGTACCTTTCAAAATGCAGCTTTATCCATCTAATATGCCATCTTTTGGCTGGGTTGGTAGTGAGCTTGTTGCACACCCTCAAACTCGACCTAAATACATAAATACGTCGGTCCGTCTCTGGACTCATAGCATGACCCCTTGACAACATGAATGAATCTGCCTAAATCGTTACCATTACTGTCAGGCAGGCTAAGAACATCACTCTTTCGCTTTGAGGTGCCAAGGTATGATTTTGCGGCAGTGACAGTCGGAAATACGAGAGCAGAATATGCCAAGAAATCAAAATAGCCTTACCGTACAAAATAATGCGTTGCACAGAGATATGCGGCAAGCAGCACCAGATTACTTCCACTATTCATCAGGCGATCGCATCGCTTGGCCGCGTGTTCTGTCGTTGCTCAGCCGATGTGACTGACAGCGACGTTGGCTTGCTATGCCACACCGTGCCCCGTTTATGACCGGTTAAAATCTGACCTTGACGACCGAATATCGACTGCGAAAATTCGTCTATGTCAAAGTGTATGAACAGCGCCTGTTCGGTGAATAAGTCGACAACCTGACAGAACCATAATGCATAATCAACGCCCTTTCGTGCCGTCTCGTTTCGTTCCGCGATTCCCCCTTGGGTGTATTTCATAGAATACACTTTCCGAAAGAAGCTTAATTATGCAGAAGTTTCAGTTTGTCTAGAATTCGCGAAAAAACGATCATTTGAACGCACACTTTATGCAAAAGTGTAATTTGAAAAAACTGCCACAGTTTTTAAACGAAACATATTTACGACACGGTTGAATAACGGCTTCTTCTAGGCCCGCAGTTCATTGTCATCCTATTCAAACCATTGATGAAGCAATGATAGAAAATATTCGCTTAAAATATTTACACACAGCGAATTCCTGCTTAGATGGGACCAGGTTTCAGCCGGTAAGGAACCTTCATTAGCCAAATAATGAACCTCATAGATATTACTTTACACTTATAAGTAAAATTATAAGTACTGTAAGTAAAATCTAGCAGTCAGGTGTAATGGCAGTGTTACGTCTGGTCAACAAGATTGGTTTTGATTGTCTGCCATCCTGCACTCAACGTCTTCCATAGCTGCTAACGAAAAGACCTTTTATTTCCTTACATTGGATCAGAATTACTTTCACGTTGCAAGCCTTTTCTGTTGCCAAATCCATGTTTTTAACGATGCTGATTCACAACATGATCCGTGATCTGAATCAGGAAATCTTCTTCTGCGCAATAACTTAGACCAATAGAAGATTACGCATTTACCACTTGCATACCTCACTTTCAGGATCGGTCTGAATCAAGCAGGTGAATTATGAAGCCAGTGGACATGAGAGTTGCCTTCAAGTCTAGAGGAAGCAAAGAACACTAATAACCAAGGGACAAGGTCAGATATCCCTTGAACGTGCAACGAATGTCACCAGATCGTCCGCCTGACTTTCAACCTATGAGGCACCGGCCAGACATCAAGGCCACTGCGGGTCACAGCAGTTGAGCATAAGAGTGTCAGCAAATGAACGGTCGCGGACCAAGGAGCATTGGGAACGTTGAAAATACCTTCTAAACCTGCTCATCATGTTACGACCAGACACCACTTCGATTTCGCTTGAGCATCACCCACGGAGATGGCACAGAACATCTTTTAAATGGTCTTGTTAAGCTTCTTGAATCAGATCAAAAAAATTTCACGAATCGAGACTATGGGCTAGAAATTTCCAAAAGTCGATTAGTCTGCAGAAAAGATCTGCAAGGTCAAAGCCATTCTAATCAGACGTAGGGGAACAGAAGTCCATTTCACCTGCACCTGTCGAAAATGATGACATCGAGACGGCAGATGGTCAAGACCACGCTTGTTTACCAGAGCTAAGATTGACATGGGACTGTTTACCCTTAATTGTTACAGTAGATGGATATCCGTTTGTGAGATTCATTATTTGGCTGAAGAAAGCTGCAAACTCTGGCCGAAATCTGGTACTGTCTAAACAGGAATTCGTTATGAGTCAGTATTTCAAATGAAATTTGTCGATCGCTGTTCACGTATCCACGTCAAGTTATTTTGGATCGTTAAATTCATGAAACATTTTGATACTGACACAGTTATACTTTTATTATTGATATTAGTTTTGCATATTGGTCAAAAATTTGTGTGGATGACGCTACCGTTTACCAGCCTCTTACAATTGGGCCGCAGCTAGAGAATGGCGGCAAAACCTGCAGGACAGCGTTTCATGTCTGTCAGCTGTATTAATTGCGACAAAATCTTATTTCGGCTTCCCGTTTTTCTGTTGATTGGTGCATCATCAATTGCCTGACAAACTGGTTCTTCCGTCGACGACAATCTGTAAAATTCAATGGAAATAAATCCAGCCAGTTGCTGAATGCAGATTTGTTCAAGGCTGAGTTCTCGCAATACAAGTACGCAAACTTTTAACTGATGAATGAGTTGTTGAGGCAGTACAGAAGTGTAGAACTTACGCTGGGGAAGAAGTAGTACTGGGATCTCTTAATCTATGAGAAATGCGAAATATTTGAAATTTTAGGACAAAGGGTTCCCGTTTGTACGCTCTTATCTGTCTTCCAATGAGCTGCAACGCTCGCCTCATCAGCTTGCGCTAATTGGTATTCATCGTGTGAAATTGTGCCACAACCTACGCATAGATTTGTAGTCATATAACCTCAATCTTCACAATGACGTTGACAATAGACACTGAATGACCATGAATCAGCCTCGTCACTAACCTTACGTGACCTGGACATATTCACTCACTGGTGAGTAACTGCAGTTCTGTAGCTACGAGAACTTATGCAAAAGGTCTGAGGAATTTGCGCGATCCGCAAGAATCACCTGAAGGCATATGCCGCTCCATTTACTTCCATTGCGCTGCTAACTGATGACTTTAAGGCGATACACAGATCTCTCAAACTTATGACAGCGCTGAGTTGCATGCCGTTACACGACCTCACAGCACAAACTATAGACTCTGTGATCAGAAGGTCATTCTTTATGAGAAATGAGGTATTAGCAAACGGTTCACATGGTTCTACGGTAGCCTTTCAAAATGCCTGTCCCAGTCCACTCTAAGTCGATGCAACGGTTGTATCTTAGCAAGGTTAGATTTTCGAAATCATTTATTCTATCTTCAACGCACAGTTTTTGGGATTCATATGCGTTTAAACAGCTCTATTTTGAAATGTTAAGTATAACATGATTATGTCATCATGCAACTGTGTTCTACTACGATACATTCCTTACTGAGTTTCTTGTTCAACCTCTGCTTCAAACTGTTGCATTTCTTAGTTACAGTTTCCTTGACTTAAATTGCAATTATATTTTCTTCTCGCCGAACTGAGGTGTCATACACTGCCAAATGGTTTTATCCTCTCATAT